CATTAATTACTTCTCAAGAAACTGCTTTTAGCGTAATCTGCCCTTTAGGCAACTTGAATGGTCCAAAGTACCGAGACATTTTGGACTTTCCATCTGATGGAGTTCCTCTAAGTATCCCTCCAAAATTTTGTCCATTTAGTGCCAAAGTCACAAGTGTTTATGTATTTTTGATCAGTAGGATGGCGGCGATTTGGGAATCGCTCCGCATAAGTACGGGCAGTAAGTCTGTAATTTCTACCACATTCACCAAAGGTTATAAGAATATCGACTACTTCTGTAGGCGTATAATTTTCCATTTTACCAGAATTTTATCAGAGTACAAATGTTAAAAAAATACATACATTGTTTTTTATTAAAATCATAAAATTCCTATTTTGTACTTTGTAGTATTAAAACGAAGCGTCGTAGAGAAAAACATTATTAGTAAAATATGTTTGTTTTTATGTCCTCTATTTCCCCTCAAAGTTTGTCGGTCTAATTTTTTTACACCCTATATATACAGGGTGAGGAAAAAGTATGGAAACTATGAAAAATCTAAAAAAATATAAGTTTTACAGAAAAATGTTTCAAATAAAAGTTGTAGGATTTAAAAAAGTCTATTCAATAGTCTCATCAGTTTGACGCTGGCTGGCGTCGTTAAGGTGAAGTCAAAGTCACCTTGAATTTTTTAAATGGGATACCCCATATATTATTACATATTCTTATAACTTATCTCGAAAGTTTTCCAAAACACTATAATAAAATATTTTTTCGTTAAGAACTTTTTGAGTAATAACACTTGAAATTTCCAGCACTTTGACATAGAATACAAAATATCTCGTAAAATATTCATCTTTCGATTATCTTGCCTTAATGCTTTTTTGCACAGAATAATGAGGCAAATTAATTGACTTAAAAAAAAAAAACAAAAAATTTTTTACATAATAAATATAAAAAAATTTTTTGTGCTTTTTAATAAGCTATAAGAATATGTAATAATATATGAGGTGTTCCATTTAAAAAATTCAAGGTGACTGACTTCATCTTAACGACGCTAGCCAGGGTCAAACTGATGAGACTATTGAATAGACCTTTTTAAATCCTACAACTTTCGTTTGAAACATTTTTTCTGTAAAATTTATATTTTTTAAGATTTTTCAGGGTTTCCATACTTTTTCCTCACTCTATATGTGTGTATGCGTGCGTGCGTGTGTGTGTGTGTGTGTATGTATATACACATATATATATATAAAATATATATATATATATAAAAAAAAAATATATATATATATATATATAAGTAGCGCTCAAAAGTCTTTTGACAAATAGTGTTTTGTAAAGTATTTTATTAATAATAATAATAATATATGTATTAACCTTTATAATATAAACTTTGCACATAATATCACATGTTAACAACAAAATTAACTCTTATCAATTACTAAACGAATATAACATAAACAAAACTTTACTTTATCATGGTTCATAAGTGATTTGACATGTTAGTTTTTAACGACTATGTAGTAATATGTTTTTAAATAAAGTGACAAACATTTGTTAAACACATTGTTA